GGGGGGGACTCAGAGTAGAGCCGCTGCTTCTCCACGTCGAGAGGAGATAGTTGAGGTGGCTCGGGCATCTGGTTAGGATGCCTCCTGGACGTTTCATGTTTCTGCTGATCTGTTTCATGTTGCTGCTGATCTGTTTCATGTTGCTACTGATGTTTCATGTTGCTACTGATCTGTTTCATGTTGCTGTGTTCATTCGTGCTCATCTTCTCACACAGACTCATGTTGGTGCTGCTGTTCGACGTAATGTTTTTATGCTACTAGTGCTTAGTGTATTTTTAGTTGATGTTTTTCTTAGTTCATATCTTAGATGGGGCAGCACGGTGGCGCAACTGGTAGAGCTGCTGCCTCTCAGTGAGCAGGTCCCTGGCTCAAACCCCGGTCCAGGGGCCTTTCTGGGTGGAGTTTGTATGTTCTCTCAATGCATGCGTGGGTTTTCTCCGGGTACTCCAGTTTCCTCCCACAGACCAAAAACATGCATGTGTGCGCGGGGAACCCAGATGATATGAGACCCAGAACGAGGCAGACACAAGGGGAATACAAAATAACAGTGTTTATTATTTACAGTGAGTTTAAATCACATCCACAGGCTGCTGGTCTGAGGCTCCTGGAAAGAGGGATGACAGGTTAATAGCTGTCCAACGGGGAAGGCTCAAGTTGTTTGTTAAGGAGTGTGTTTGTCCTTACAGTCCAACCCGAAGGGAGAGCTGGTCCTTCAGTCCAAGGCGAGCGAGCAGCAGAGGGAAATCCAAAAGAGTCCAAAGGGGAACGAGGAAGGCTGGCACTGGAGGCAAAGAGGCACGAGGAATACCTGAGAGGCCTAGGATCCAAATCAGGTCACGAGGGAAATCCAAAGAGCACGAGGAACCAGGAAACTGGAAAAAAGAGCAAAAGGTGAACAAATTCTTTTCACCAAGACATTTGCCTCACAACAGTACAATACCATAAGAGGTGATATGCTCCAGCGTTGAATCACACCGGACTGCAGCCTTAAGTAGATGGAGAGGCTCATCAGGCTGATGGCCGCCAGGTGTTGGTAATCAGCGGCCATCAGCAAGGCAGGCTGCAGGCAGTGGGATCCTTACAGTACCCCCCCCCCCTCAAGAATCGCCACCTGGCGACCTGAGGCGCTTCTCGGGGTGGTCTCTGTAAAACCTGGAAATTAAACTGGGGTCAAGGATAAAGGACCTGGGGATCCATGACCTCTCCTCAGGACCGTACCCCTCCCAATCGACCAGGTACTGGAAACCCCTGCCCCTGCGCCTCACGTCCAAGATGGAACGAACGGAGAACGCAGGGTGGTTGTCGATCAGGCGAGGCGGCGGAGGGAGGTCAGATTGAGGACACAGGGGACTGAGGGAAACAGGTTTCACTTGGGAAACGTGGAACGTGGGATGGATGCGCATGGCCCTGGGGAGCTGGAGGCGGACCGCAGAGGGATTGATGATGCGAGTGATGGGAAAGGGACCAATGAAGCGGGGGGCCAGTTTGCGAGGTGTGTCCCGCAGCTTAATGTCCTTGGTGGACAAACAAACTTGCTGGCCGACCTGGTAGGCGGGCGTCTCTGAACGGTGGCGGTCAGCAAACCGTTTTGCCTGGGCTGCGGTCCTAAGGAGGGCTGCTTTGGCCTGGCGCCAGATACGACGGCAACGCCTGAAGTGGTGCTGGACGGATGGGACCGAACAGTCTGTCTCTGAGTCAGGGAACAAAGGAGGATGGTAGCCTAAGGAGGCTTCAAAGGGGGACATGCCGGTGGCAGAGGAGCGGAGGGAGTTATGTGCGTACTCCACCCAAACCAAGTGCTGGCTCCAGGATGAAGGATTAGACTCGACCAGGCAACGCAGTGTGGACTCCAGCTCCTGATTGCAGCGCTCGGCTTGTCCGTTAGCCTGGGGATGGTAACCAGAGGTGAGGCTAACGGACGCCCCGAGCGACTTGCAAAAGGAGTGCCAGACCTGGGAGATGAACTGCGGGCCTCGGTCAGAGACAATGTCCGACGGGATCCCATGGAGCCTAAACACATGGAGGGTGAGTAACTGGGCAGTCTCAAGGGCAGAGGGGAGCTTAGGGAGGGGAACAAAATGGGCGGCCTTTGAAAAGCGGTCAACAACTGTGATGATGGTGGTGTTGCCATCAGATGGTGGAAGGCCGGTAACGAAGTCGAGGGCGATGTGGGACCAAGGGCGACTAGGGGTCGGGAGGGGAAGCAGAGGGCCAGCCGGGGGTTGAGTGCCGGACTTGTTTCTGGCACAGACAGGGCAGGCAGAAACAAAGTCTTTAATGTCAGAAGTCATGGAGGGCCACCAGAAATGGGCCTTGGTAAGGGAGAGCATGCGGTTGACTCCGGGGTGGCAGGAAAGTTTATTCGTGTGAAGCCATTGGAGAACCTGGGACCGCACGCTGGAGGGGACGAAGAGGGTGCCGGGAGGACCACCACCAGGGTCCGGTTCGGAGAGGAGGGCCTGTTGGACGGTGGCGGTGATGGGCCAAGAAAGAGAGCCCACAATGCAGGACGAAGGGATAATTGAATCTGAAGGCTCGGACGAGTCTGGTGGAGCAAACTGTCTGGACAGGGCGTCCGGTTTAATGTTTTTGGAGCCCGGACGGAAAGTCAAAACAAAATTAAAACGATTAAAGAAAAGCGACCAACGGGCCTGACGGGGGGTCAGACGCTTGGCGTTCCGCAGGTAGATCAGATTCTTATGGTCGGTCCAGATTAAAAAAGGTGTCTCAGTGCCTTCCAGCCAGTGCCGCCATTCCTCGAGGGCGAGTTTGACCGCCAAGAGCTCGCGGTTGCCCACATCATAATTTCGCTCAGCCTGGGAGAGACGACGAGAGAAAAAGGCGCAGGGATGGACCTTGTTGTCCAGAGGGGACCGTTGGGAGAGGACCGCCCCAACCCCAGTGTCAGAGGCGTCCACCTCCAAAATAAACTGGTGCGCGGGGTCAGGATGGCAAAGGATGGGCGCCGAGGAAAAGAGGGATTTAAGCTTTGAGAAGGCGGCTTCAGCCTCCGGGGTCCAGTGAAAGGCTCGGGCAGTCGAAGTGAGCTGAGACAGGGGGGCGGCGACACGACTGTAATCTTTTATAAACCGCCTATAGAAATTTGCAAACCCCAGGAAACGTTGTAACTGCTTCCTGGACTCGGGAGTCGGCCAATCGACTACCGCCCTGGTCTTTTCAGGGTCGGTTCGGCAACGACCACCCTCAAAAATAAAGCCGAGAAAAGAGACAGAGGAGGTGTTAAACTCGCACTTCTCAGCTTTAACGAATAATTGGTTCT